AGAACAGTTTCCTCATGGCATTGGTACTTTTGAGTTCAGGCCTGTTATTTCATGGAATTTCTGTCAATTTGTGTTTGTCTGATTATCTCATACCTGAATCCAGGGTAATCGTTTTACTCAGGAGCACCACTTAGTTGATGCTGCATCCTCAGTGCATCCGAGTGAGGGGCACAAGGTCTATATGCATTATTCTGTACCTTGCTTCTTTCCTTTAATAATAAATTCTAGAAATCACTTCATATCCATTCCTAGAACTCTCCTCCTCCTGTTTTGTAGCTTCATAGAAACCTGCTGTATGGAATAACCAGTCTTTGTAATTAATCTGTTTATGGCTATTTATTTCTCATACTTGCTCTTTCAAGTGACATTGTGATAAGTAATCCAGGTATGTTTTCATCAAATTGTTGGTAAATAGTACTGTAACTTTGACAATTAAATTTAGGATTTATTTTTAGTTCTCGATTAAAAATTGTTTCATATCAATATATTTAAATGTAAATGGGTTAATAATAGCTGGGCCATTTAATGTGATTTTAGTAGGTTGTATAGTGCAGACTGGTTCACATTTGATTGGTAAAGCAGTACATAGAAGAGCGCAGAGGTGGTGTTCGTTCATCTGTGGATTTAACTTTGCAAGGAAAGCCAGAATGTTGAGGTAGGATTTTTCCAGTTCCCTGCTGGAGCGAATAGCCCCCATTGTCTCTGTTGCATTGTAACAGGAGCCCCTTCATCCTGAGTTTTAAGAAACAATTTGCCTGGGACTTCTCCCTATCCCCCAGCTTCACAAGCTGGTTTCCACCCTGTAACTTCTGGCCCATGAGTGGTTGTCCTGCCTCCTCTTCTCGCCTGATCAGCTCTGCACAGCTCAGGGCTCACTGTTGTCTGCACTCACCTATCACTCACTTGCCCAGCTCCAATTGAAGCACTGCCATCAGTTCCCCATTGTGCATTTCTGTGAATTTTTAACATTCCCCTTGGCAGTTTGCTTGCCTGCATGGCCTGGATGATCTCTTGATGTCACAAGGAATGTTGTTGGAACCCTTGTTAAAAAGCTGGTGCAGTTTGAGGAGTCCATCTACAATGCTAATTTTTCCAACAAAGATAGGATTTCTGTATGCAGTTTTGAAGAAGACATGGTTTTTAGGACTGCAAATGTAATATCATAATGGAAAATGCACATTAAAAAGATTCAGAAAGTTTACTAAAAATGGAAATTGAAGCTGACGGGTAATGTTCTGTGTTCTACATTTTGATGTCAGTCACATTAAGATTCTTTTTTCCAAAGTTTTCTCAGTAGATCTTTATTTTTGGTATATATCTTACTAGGAGGAATGTGTACATCTATTGTGTGTTAAATACATATTAGGTGGAAATTTGTTTTGGAATAATTTCATGATAATTTCCCCCTAGGTTTTAGAAGACTAAGCTTAGACATCCAGTCCCCTCCAAATATTGGTCTACGTCGTAGTGGACAAGTTGAAGGTGTTCGTCAGATGCATCAGAATGCTCCACGTAGTCAGATTGCTACAGAACGAGACCTCCAGGCTTGGAAACGAAGAGTGGTTGTACCAGAGGTACCACTAGGCATATTTAGGTTTGTTTTAGGATATCTATTAATACTGTTTCTATCTATAAAATATATGGTTATTTATATATTTTTCAATCCATTAGGGGTATACATAGTCATATAAATATATTTTACAATGGGTGGGATTTTAAAAAATTATGGTAGGACAATGTCAAAGTTGTTTTCCAACTTTCTCTTAAATTTTTCATAAACAATCTTGTTTCATCTAGACAAATGCCTGCTCTTCTCCCTACAATATTATTTTGAAAGAAATCCCAGACATAATACAATTTTGTCCATCAGTATGTAGGTGTGTATTTCTAAAGGATAAGGAATTGTTTTAAAATATAACCACAATGCCATTACTATACCTTAACAAATTCCTCACCATAATTAAATATCCAGTCGATGTTTAAATTTCCAGTCGTCTCAAATGTGAATATTTTCAGCTTTTTGCAAGACTTTCATAAGTGGTATGAGTTTGTTGGAAGGCATAAATATCTATTTTCTTTATGTAGTGATAGCAGGCATTTATGCTCATAGCCTAGATTCATTAATACATTAAGGGTTAAGGGTTACAGAATGATGATATTTCAACTCTGAAGTCTTTATTTATTATCTTGGATACTTAAAAAAAAGAAAGTTACTCACATCTATTTGATTATCCAGTAGTAAAGAGAGATGCTGTATTTAGTAGTAAAGATAATAATGAAATAAAAGAGATGCTTGATTTACCTTCAAAATAGTTTTATTCCCTTCCATCCCCTGACAGTGACCAGTTTGTGTATGTGTTTTCCACTATAAGCACCACACTGTTGTGATTTAGCATTTTTGGTATCCTATTGATATTTAAATATTTCCATCTCTGTCCAGGAGGTGTCTGTTCAAGTTGGCATGACTATAGTAGCCTTTTGTAACATCCATGTTGTCAGGCATGGTGAGATGTCACAGGTTTATCTTGCAAATTCCTTGATCTCAACAGAATCAGTCTTTTAAGCAGCCCTGTTTTCTTTTAGTGGGAAGTGATAATTCATATTTACAGTCTGGGAAGTAGGATCTTCGAACTACTGAGTTGTAACATACTGATTTTTGAGTCATCAAAATGGAGGCAGCAAATACTGTTTTTCATTGATACTTAAAATTTTTCAGTATTTTGTCATTTTTATGTCTCATGATAGCTGCTACTTTGAAGGTAATTTTGTAAAAGTATTTCCTTCATGTGTTTAGAGCTTCAGGAATTTGTGGAGTAATATTGGGTAATGCTTATATATTGTACAGTGAATTTGAGGATGTTTATAAGTACACAATCAAAGAGTAAAAAGCAAAATATGGTACTAGGATGAGAAATACAGAAAAATTACCGCTGTGAATGTAGTATGCCATACTTAAGCCTTAAAATTGTGTGCGAGTTGCGTGATCATTAGAACTGAAAATGTCATTTCAGGTTACTTCTTATTGTTAAAACCAAGGGAAGAAACAATTATCAGGAGTTGAAGGCCTGAACAGTAGTTCTGTAAATAAGCATTTGTTCTCTTAACGTGGAAGGTGAAATAATTTAAGGCTGGAGTCATGGTTCCCAGTTAATCAGGGATACAGGCTCCTGTGTTTCTGATCTCCTGTCTTAGAGCATGGCTTTCAATCTTAAGGTCATCTCAAAGTCCAGAATAGCTGGACTTTATACAGTAGCCATCACGTGTCTGCATCTATGATGGAGGGTGAGATTTAGACCACAAGGAGGAAAGACAGAAGGCAAAAAGGACATTTCTAACTCAGAGAATGTCATTTAAGCAGCCTTAATATTAATAGTCTCATGTGGCATTTCTGCTCATAACTCATTGACCAGAATGTTGTGTGGCTACACTTTGCTACAGAGGAAGCTAGGTAATAACAGTTTCTGGTTAGGGCAGCAAAGCCCTTAGATAAAAATTTAGATGCTGTTCCTAAGGAAGAAAAGGAGAATGGATTTTGTGAGTCAGCTGGCTTTCTGCCACAATATAATTTTCCCACAGAAAAGTATAACCATATTCTCAAATACACATGAGATTTTCTGAATGAGATGCTGAGTGGTTGAGTGGTGGTCAGTGCCCCTAACAGCAATCTTTATAATGGGAAAGCAGTGGGGAATTTTACATGACTATTTGTTAGGGTATCATTTAATAAGGATCACAGGAAACTAATTTGTTTTCTGACTAAAAGTAGTATATGTCCATTGTGAAGGAAAAAATGTGAGAAGGTAATGATCCTACTCATGTGCAGAAAGATGAGTACAGAATGTTGCTTCCTGGGTGAGGCAGTTCTATTTGGGGCTAGAGATTAGGCATATTGCTTATCTTAATCCAGTAGCAGTAGAAATTGAAGAAGTTGCAGTATACACTCTGTTTTAGCTGACGATCTCATTGCACTTTGAAGCTGTGTACAGTTGAAGATATTTTTGAATGCCTAGAGTGTTCTTTTGCTTTATTATTGAAAATTATATGTAGTATTTCATTGTCAAAACAAAAGGAAGTGTACATGTAAGGGGTAGAAATTTCATTTGGCTGCAAGTGAAAAATGTCACATAGTTCCTTAAATACATATGAAAGTGTTGAAATTGACAACTTGCCATGGATTGAGTCTGATTTAGAACTCCTCTGTGGAGAGAATTTTCTAATGTAATCTGAGCGTGGGCTGTGATGTATGTACTTTGAGAAAAAAATGATTTCCTTAGAAATTAGTTTTTGTCCTTAAAGGATTTGTGCTTAAACTCATTTTGAGTGTCCAATTATATCGTGGAGAAGATGACAGTTTTCAGACTTCTCCAGTGGGGATTTAAAATGATCACAAAATGTAAAGTGATGAGTATTCAACAGTGTTCAAATTGGAGAAAAAGAACATTCAGTCATTTGAATTCTCTAACTGTGGAGAAGGAAAATGATCTTCAGTACCTTCCTCATGGTGGAAGGTCCCTTGCTTTGAAAATTGCTCTCAATTATATTATCATGTTTGTATCATAATTAGAAGAACAGGTGACATTGCTATTTTGGTTTTCTAAAAATTATAAAATACTCAGTTTGAATAAGTTCAGAGGAAGATTCTGCTATTTTATCTTTAGAGAAGGGAATTGCAATATTGGAAAATCATGGGGACATTCTGAGTAGCTAATATGAGAGATCCTATACCAATTCGTCCTCATAGGACCAACCAAAATAAAAATGAAAGAATATTCCTGTGCTAAATATGAAAAATAGGGCCTCCTGCTTCTGAGATTTTATTAAATTTATGACATAGACTGCATCTTGACTTAAGTTTTGTTATGATTTTAGTAATTTTATGTATTAATTTGGAAAGTATATAAGCTTGTGTTTCCTAGAATCATGATGATTAATTTTTCCTCATCCTTATATCACTTACTCTTCATCTCAGTAACTAATACAATTGGATACTTAAATTGTAGGAAGTTGGAAGACTTCAGGATAGAGAAAGGTGAAGAGGAAAGAAATCTTTATATAATTGGAAGAAAAAGGAAGACTCTCCAGCTTTCACAAAAGGTAACTTAAATTCTGTCCCTAGGAATAAGCAAATTAGAAATTATACTGAAAATCATAGTTTTCTTTTTTTTTCATCAGTGTGAATATTAGTAACTTTCACCTGAAGTAGACTATTTTATTGCTTGAAGTCTTCTGTTTGGGATTTAAAATAGTAGATATAAGGTTGAACAGCTGTTAGGGAAAAGTAGTTTGAAAACTTGAGGGAAGTAGCCTTGATGCCTGAGAGTGCTAAAGGATTCTAGAAAAATTACTATATATGACCATTCAGGTTGAGAACTGCAACATTGTCAGCTGATCACAAGCACTTTCTGTCTGTTCCCAGTCACTCTTTCTCCTTTCTTCCACAGGTAATCAGTCAACTGTCTTTAAAAACTGCTGGTTAACTGTTTCTGAAGTTTATCCAAAATCATGCATTGATAAAAATTCTTTGATTTTACAATGGTTTGAGACCCTCCACAAACCATTTTTAGTGTCTGTGGCACAGAAGTACCATGCTGGGGGCAAGTCAGGAAACTGTATATAAAGAGTTCCTGTTAGAGTAATGATATAAAGTTGAGATACACTCTTGTATCTGGCTTGATCATTTGACCTTGTGGGGTTGCTTTAACTATGCTGTTGTTGAGTAGTTGAATTGAAGTTCATTTGTTTGCATTTTGTATACTATTCCATTGATGAGTGTACTGGTATTTAATTTTAAAGGACATTTTTGTTGTTTTCATATTTTGGCAATTAGGAGTAATACTACTTTCAACATTTTATATGTATTAATATCTCTGTATGTGTTTCTTTTGGGGTAAAATTGTAGATCATAGGATTTGTGTATATTTAACTTAAGGTAGTAATGCTGTATGCAGTTTCAGAATGATTGTACTCCTGCTTAGAGTGAGAGAGAATGTGTTAAAATCTGGTGTTTGTAGATTTCTGTTTCCAGTTGTTTTTATGTGGTTTGAAGCTATGTTTGGTGAGTACAGACTTAGAATTTCCCTTGTTCCTAGTGAATTGAACCTTTTATCATTATGAATTTTCACCTCTTACTGCTAGTAGTAAAGCTTATTCTTCAAATTCTCTTCTATAAATATAGCTGTGCTGGCTTTCTTTTGGCTAGTGTTTGCATAGTATATCTTTCCATCCTTTGCTTTCTTTCCCTGTTTCTTCTGAGATGCCAATTACTTACCTGTACATTGATTGGACTTTCACTGTTGATTCCCTTTGGTTTGTTAGGCTGTTTTCTGCTGTTCTTAATTTTTTTCTGATCAGTATTAGAGTCTGTTAGTTCTTCTAAGTTCTGTAATCTGTGGTTAAACCTGCTGTGTTCTTGATTTTAGCTGTATTTTTCAGTTCAGAATTTTCATTTGCTTCTTTTTTAGAGATTTTGGTTTTTTGCTGAAGCACTTGTTATTTTAAATCTGTGAAAATCAGTTGTAGTTTCTTTTTTTTAAATTCATGCCTGGTAATCTCATTATTTCAATAATATCTTGCTTTCCTGTTCATCTGTTTCCATTCCTTCTTGATTAAAAAAAATTTTTTTTTTACAGTTACATTTTCTTTGTTGCCTATGTTTGATTGAATGTTACATGTTTGAGATAATTTGAATCCTAGGATGGTATTTCTCCTACAGAGATTTAATTTTGCTTCTGGTAAGCTTCTAGTGCTGCTGCTGATCCTGTATTCCATTTCTACCTGCAAGGATGTGATTTGTTCCTCAGGATTAATCTTCTTTTAAAATTTTTTATTAAGGTATTATTGATATACACTCTTACGAAGGTTTCACATGAAAAAACAATGTGGTTACTACGTTCACCCATATTACCAAGTCCCCACCCATACCCCAATGCAGTCACTGTCCATCAGTGCAGCAAGATGCCAGATTCACTATGTGCCTTCTCTGTGTGACACTGTTCTCCCCGTGACCCCCCACACCATGTGTACTAAACATAATGCCCCTCAATCCCTATCTTGCTGCCCCCGACCCACCCTCCCCCACCCCTCCCCTTTGGTAACCACTAGTCCCTTCTTGGAGTCTGAGTCTGCTGTTTTTTTTCCTTCAGTCTTGCTTCGTTGTTATACTCTACAATGAGGGAAATCATTTGGCACTTGTCTTACTTTGCCTACCTTATTTCACTGAGCATAATGTCCTCCAACTCCATCCATGTGGTTGCAAATGGTAGTATCTGTTTCTTTCTTACTGCCGAATAGTATTCCATTGTGTATATGTACCACATCTTCTTTATCCATTCATCTACTGATGGACACTGAGGTTGCTTCCATATCTTGGCTATTGTAAAAAGTGCTGTGATAAACAGGGGTGCATATGTCTTTTTGAATCTGAGAAGTTGTATTCTTTG